ATATTTCCGATCAGCTGCTTTTCGTTGCAACCAAACTTCGCGTGGAACGGTAGAATCACGCAACCCTTGTATGCGAGGGCCTCGTTGTCTGAATTCGATCGTTGAAGGCCCGCTGAAAAATAAACATGGCGCAAGACGCATGAATATGCTGAAGTACACAAATGATAGTTTCGAGTTTTGCTGCTTTTTCCTGTACTTCCTTTCTCATTGCATAAAGTCTGGTCGTTGTAAAGCAAAAACTTTGTAGACACCCGCTGACAATGAAAAATGTCATCGCTGCAATGAATCACTAAATGCGAAACAGCGTTAATGTCCACAAATTGTTGTTTACATTGTTTTTTACCTGCCATGTTGTAGAAAACAACAATCTTTCAAGCACTACTTTTTACCTGAGCTTTCTTGCTGATTATCGGATATCGTAAGCTATTGCATCTACACAGCGCTATTGGTGATAACATAAACGCGCTTAATTAACCTCACTTTTCTCAGAAAGTTCTTTGGTATAGCCAAAATGTTTGTTTTCATATCTCTGTCCAACAATTAGCAACGAAACAACATCGACTGGGAACTTAACGTCATTTTTCGCTACTGGTGATACCATCTGTGCTACTATGAATTGTAAAAACTTAAAATGAGACTCTCTCAAACACTTCGTATTTATCTCAGACCAGTAGTCTGTATAACCGCGGCATTTAAAGTGCCTGCTCAAGGCCAAATCGCTAGAAGATTATTTTGGGAAAAGAAAATGAAAAGGCGTACGATTTCGTACATGGATCTAATCCTCCTGTGTACATCACGGATTTAATGCAACCAAAAACACCATGCTTGCATGTTCGGCCATTGCAAAACCGATCCTTGGAGCCGAAACATTGGTAGCAGCGTGTCTGCAACCCTAAATAGTTAAATATATGCATTTTTGAAGAACAGTTTTAAATCGCACATAATTGTTTACTTCTAAGAGTACTCAAATGGTACAATTCGCATCCCAGAATTAGACTCACTGCGAATTGCACTACTCACTTGCTTCCAGTTGCCTTGGGGGTGCCCTTCATGCAATCCACAGCTTCATGGTATTTGTGCTGCCGCTCTGCTGTGTCAGATACGCAGTAATTACTCAAGGGAAATGTCGTTAATCCAGTTTGCAAGATTAAGTTGAAGAAACGCGACTTCGAGCCGATGCTGCACCTTTACTTCAAAAAACATTCAGAATGGTCTGATGGCCGTAGCAACAGGCAAATACCGATTTTAGGTCTTGATTTTATTTCATTGGTAAAGGTTCGGCTTAGCAACGTTGGCCATCATTAGGGCAAACATAAAAGTTATGGAGCGGTTTAGTTAGGCAATATTTAACTCAACCAGTTGATATGGCACTATTTATATCCCCAGTTTTGTTTGGTTGATTACCGCACAAGAGAGTCAGCTGTGTGGTGTTTCAAGCCAAAGTGAAGGTTTTAGAAGCTCTGTTATCAGACAGTTTTATCGTTCAATGTTCTATGACTGTACAGGAGCATCAAATTCCCTTCGATTTCGAAAATCAACGCCTGTCTACAACCTTTTATTGCGTTTAAACAGGAGTAGCACCGTTGAGTGTATTCCTTGCTGAAGCACGTCAACAGTTAAGAGATTTATTTTAGGGTTCGAACTCTCCATTTCCAAAATTAAATTGCCGCTGTTCGCTAGGTATCCTCCTAAAATTCAGGAATATTTGGTAATGCCTCCGTAGTAGCTTATTGTCTGCAAATCACTGATACTTCTTACTTGCCTCACTCATATATGCAATTCCTATTTCTTGAGATATACTCATCTTCCGCATAAAGAAATCAACTACAATTCAGTCAACATTTGTGTAAAATCACTCAGTTATTCTTTCTTTATGCGGTATGCATAACAAACAGAAAAACGTCAAAATTTAGAATTTTTTAGATTTACCTGATCGTATAAGAGAAAGGACCAAAAGACAAATCTGAAAGCGATGGGCCATGCGAATCATTTTTTCGCTACCACTTCGGAGGAAGGTGAGTAACAACTGAATCAATATGACCCGTTTTCACTAACACGCTAGTAACGGTTCGTTGGTCAAACATTAGTATAATAACGAGTCACAAACCAGTCTTTGTTGTCGATCAGATTGAATGGCCTAAACAAACGCATAGGCAACGACTTAGGAGCAGGGTTATCAGAGCAGTGATTTTCTCAAGGTATTTAGCGTTGAAGTGGTGTCGAATAGAAACTTTTCCATAAATAAAATTAAATTCATATCAGTTCATCAGAAAGTACTCGAAACAAATTGGAAAGATTCTATGACCTGTGAGAAATTCAATTCACCATGGTATCACAGTCTATGCGTAACTGTGTGATCATAATATTATGCCATTTGCATAAGCAAAACACACTTGGCTTGTGATGCTCTCTGCATTCGCAAATTTCAACATTTTGCAATGAGGTACATGTTGTTACACTGCAGAAGGAATATTACTCTGCAAAGCAACCTCTATCATGCCCCGCAAGTTGGCTGCTGACACCTAGAAGGAGGTCTGCCCTATTTCGACTCTAGCTGGGAAGCAGAGGCTGGAGTAAACAGCATGATAGTGCGGACACACTAGAATCTATCTGACTCGCAGGAGAAAATGTTCTTAGTTATGAGATCCTCAAATGACTGTTGTGCCCTTTGCCTCATTGTTTGCATGAGATGAAAGCGGGCGAATCGTTAAAAATGAATTATTTCGCAAATATCAGAAAATCTCTAAACTGCAATGAATAGGTGGTGTTGTGTGAGCACTAAGGTGCAGCTGGAAGTTACGTTTCATTTAATGATCTGTATGATAAATCGATTGGATCGAGTTCAGATGTAACAGACACGTTCAGATCGAAAATAAATGTCTTGAATGAAGAATTGCTAACCCGATGAGAATTTCACGAAGCAAAGCACACGGGCTAATAATAATTCTAAGGTTCGAAATCACTTCATTGTTGGAAATTTCTTAGGCGAATATAAAACACATTTACATAATTGATGGCATGCCGATTTGTAAGCTTGTGTGAATTCAGCATATCAAATAAATCCAATTAATTGTAAAACTTTTCAAATGTAGTTTTTTTGCTGTCCATCGCAATATGCTTTATAAGTTTCAGAATCGTGTTCTCCCGCTGAGAGGTTTCGACCAGACAACTGTTTCCAGTGCTGATAAGAAGCCAGTCTAGCTGATAGTCCGCATCAAATGAAACATGGAGAAAAAGAATTGATTTAATATAGCCATCTTAATTCTGTCATCTTCAGTAATTAGTCAAACAGAGTGTAACCCATTAGCTATGTGTTTATTAGCAAATTGATAGTTTACAGAACGCTGACTATTATGACAACCTCATGACACTTCACTCGTCGTCTTCGCGTCCCTCCCTCCACTCCACTTGCCTAGGGAACCGTTTAATGAGGTCACGGCTTCACTGAGATTTAGTCGATTGCAGAGCATAGGCTCAAACTCGCACCGCTTTGTTGGACCGAAAAATAGCTTGTCCGAAAACTTACGGATGTGCCTTTACCCGAACTGGTGCACAATGAAATTTATAAAGGCGTTGTGGACTTGCTGACAAATTACTTGTATTCTATATCGCCTGTAAGGGTGATAATGCTTCTGCAGAATCCCACGGTTCAGTAGCACGCTCCGGTAGCTTTGTATAGCATAAGACTCTTGGTAAGCATACAGCAACGAGCTAGTAGCGCAGCATGCAGCAAACAACATGGAATATTGTAGTAACATCCACTTGAATCAACTGCAAAAATTGCAAAAATTCGGAGGAATCGAAAACGAAGTCGCGAGGCAAATCGCGGTGAATGTGACTTGAGGCAATAAGCGATAATATGAAACACTGTGACATTTACTCTGATATAGTCTGTGAGAGAAACGTCTAAAAAGCGAATCACAAATCAGAACTAGCATGAAAGAGCACACAGCAAAAGAGGACTGCCACTTTCTGCATGTGAATTCTGTGCAGGACCAAATGGCGAAGATTTGTGAACCATGACATAGTCTAACATTCATGCACTTAAAATCTTACTCTAACATTGAGCTTTGACCTTGTTCTATGCTGAAAAACTCGTCGATGAGATTGTCACGAAAGAAATGTAACAATTAATTTCTGACATCTACAACATAAGGACCTCTCTGTTAGTATCCTTGTCGAATTTGTAATGGTCTTACTCGAAAGCTACAAAAAGACCTAGTCCTTAAGAAAACAACCTTTCTTCATAACTTCAATTCTTAAGCTGTTCAGCAGATATCTAACTGGTTTCACTGCTCTCAGTTCAATGGCCAATTATATCGTCAGTAGAAAGGAATCCCTATTGGATGTAACTCGTTTGCTTCTCTGATTGATATGTTTATGGAACATTTTGGAACAATAGGCCTTCATTACGGGTCATGAAGAAGCCTGTCTATTCATTTCAAAAGGATGAAATATTCGATGAAATATTTTCCCTAGGTAAAAATAGAGCTGAAACGACGCCTCTGAAACATCTAAACAGGCTATTCCTTAGCTAAATCGTTTTACTATGGAGAAAGAAGAAAACGGCTGGCTACAATTCTCGGATGTCCTACTTAGGAATCACCAGCAGCGAGGTTTTATCACGGTTTTCACAAGAAGACGAATATCCATATGAAACAACAAATCTCTTCTTATCATTCAGACTATATAATAACAGGTGATATCAATGCAATTTTCAAAGCAGAACGGAATTTTTGCACAGCAGATGATGATTTTCGCCAAGAACTAAATTCGGTCAGGTCGACGTTGGAAAAGAACGGCTATCGTATGAAAACATTTGTCGAGTTCCTGGCAAATTAACCAAGAAGAACAATGTCTACTTGATCATCTCATAACAAAATCTACACCCCTTGCCCTACGTTTACCAACTGATTGAAAAGATGCAATATATTATATTCGCGGTTGGACTCAACTTACTGTTCAAAACTGGCGTCAATCTACGAAACCGTCTACGCTACCTCGAGACAGAGAATCCTGATGAGCGCAAAAACGGTTGGATGTAACAATTCCCTTGCTTCAGCGGTTCAATTTACACCAGCTCAACGTTGAAGAGACGAGGACAAACCACAAAGGAGATATGATCAAATGGAAGAACGCTGATGCCAGGGAAAACGCCCATCAGCAAATTCGCATAGGACGGAGTCAGAGAGAAAGCCCAAAACCTATCGAAGCGGAGTGCGAGAAAAATTCTGCCGTTGTGGAACATTCTGTAATTCATCAGCATAACATATCCTGGGATGAAACGAAAGGTGTCGCGCGAGAACAACGATGTCACTCCCACCAAACGAAAGAAGCGTTTTTGACGCAGGAAACCAGCTGCATCAGTCGTGATCTTAAACCTGACATCGCCGACGCGTAAACAACAAACATCAGG